AAAAAAAAAAAAAAAAAAAAAAAAAAAGTAGAAAGGAAGTAACGGTTGAATCTGTAAGCAAGAGAAGTGGTTGTTCAATCGGTAACTAAAAGGAAACACAGAGTAAGTTTGTAAATTTAAGAACATTTAAAAGTCCGTTTAACACCCCCCAAGCCCAAGCCCGTGTAGCAATCTGCATATCCCACCAAAATATACAGACCAATTCAGAAAAAAACACATTATAGCGTAATAATATTACAAGAGAGATTTGTCTAACTGTAGTCCGTCTGTCTCTGAATCTCTCTCTCTCTCTCTCTCTTTCCTCGCGTGGACCTCTCTCCTCACTGTTAATCAAAACCCTCGAATCTCGCTTTTGATTTTGGAGTTTATTATTCTTCCAGATCTGCTTTCTATTTTATCGCAGAGTAACCCTAGATTCCTCCACAAGTTTCCTTTTTGTTATTAAACCGGCGATTTTGTCAAATACCTCTCGACATTGACCTCTAGGTTTTTGTGTTATTACCGTAGTAAACCCTAGATACGTTGCTGTACAGATCTTTATCCGTAGGCAGTGTTTGGTTACGTTAGTGTTTTAGAGATCCATAAGAAGACAAGGTTTGTAATGAACAACAACAACAACAGAGGAAGGTATCCTCCTGGGATTGGTGCTGGTCGTGGTGCCGTTAACCCTAACCCTAATTTCCAGTCTCGGCCTGGTTATCAACAGCAGCCGCCGCCACAATACGTTCAGCGAGGCGGTTACGCTCAGCAACAACAGTTTCAGCAAGCGACGTCTCAGCAGCCGCATCGATACCAACAGCAACCACAACAACAACAATGGCTAAGAAGACCACCACAGATCTCTGGCGGTAGTAGTAACGGTGATGCTGTTGCAGAAGTTGAGAAAACTGTTCTGTCCGAAGCTATCGACACAAAGTTAGTAGAGTTTTGTCTTTTTCTTTTTAATGTTTGGTTGTGATTGGTTTAGATTTGTATCGTTGACTTAGAGTGAATTATTCTTATCATCTTACATTGCAATGGCATTGAACTGTTTAGTGATTGGTTTCATTTCTGTTTGTGTGATGACTTCCATCAAGGTCTTGGCTGTTATGTTAGAGGCGTTCTTACATTGGCTATGTATGTTTTTTTTCTCTCTAGTTCGGAAGATTGGAAAGCTAGGCTAAAACTACCTGCACCTGACACTCGCTACAGAACTGAGGTAAGCTTCAGTTTCTGAAGAAGTATATCAAAATTAGGGTTTTCAGCTGTCTGCTGTTGTGTTCTGCAGAAAGTTTCTTTTTTGTTATTTAGTTCAATACATAATCCCATTATTGTTGATTATACTTTCCCACATTGTAACCATGGCAAAGAAGCTCTCTTCTTTTATGTTTCTATTACAAAACTGTGTGAGAATCTATTTGGGTAGCCTATAGTCTTTTTCTTTTTGGTTTGCATCGGATCGTGACTATTCACATGTTGTCATGTTCAGGATGTGACTGCCACTAAGGGAAACGAGTTTGAAGACTATTTTCTGAAACGAGAGCTTCTTATGGGAATCTATGAGAAGGGTTTTGAGAGACCTTCTCCAATTCAAGAAGAGAGTATCCCAATCGCCTTAACTGGTAGAGATATCCTTGCCCGAGCTAAGAACGGCACTGGCAAGACAGCTGCCTTTTGTATTCCTGTCTTGGAAAAAATTGACCAAGATAACAACGTTATTCAAGGTAACTACTCTTCCCTGGATCATGCTACAATCCAATTTGAAATGTTTTCACTTGAATGTTTACTGCTTTCTTTTTAACCTAGTTTATCTCTGATGTCTGTCTTGTTTGCAGCTGTGATAATTGTTCCAACTCGAGAGTTAGCCCTTCAGACATCACAGGTGTGTAAGGAGCTGGGGAAGCATTTGAAGATTCAAGTCATGGTGACCACTGGAGGCACCAGTCTCAAAGATGATATCATGCGTTTGTATCAGCCCGTCCATTTACTGGTAGGAACTCCTGGGAGGATTCTGGATCTCACCAAGAAAGGTGTTTGTGTTTTGAAAGATTGTTCTGTGTTCGCTATGGATGAGGTAAATGTTGGATGCTCACTTGTTCTTCTCTGTGTGTTTACATATGTAATTATTTTCAATCTTAATGTGATGGTTTCCTCTGATCTATTTTAAATATGAATCTTTTCTTCAGGCTGATAAGCTTTTATCTCAAGAGTTCCAACCTTCAGTGGAACATTTGATCAGCTTTCTTCCTGAAAATCGTCAGATTTTGATGTTCTCAGCCACATTTCCTGTCACCGTCAAGTATTTTAAGGATCGATTTTTGACGAATCCTTACATCATTAATCTCATGGATGAACTCACGCTCAAGGGTATTACCCAATTCTATGCTTTTGTTGAAGAACGACAGAAAATTCATTGCTTGAATACACTTTTCTCCAAGGTTAGATATCTGACTTTAAGTATTGATTATTTTTGTTTTCTTTCCTTAACTGGTCTTTACTCTCTCTTCTTCTGCAGCTACAAATTAACCAATCGATCATATTCTGCAATTCTGTGAACCGTGTGGAGCTCTTAGCTAAGAAAATTACAGAACTTGGATATTCTTGCTTTTACATTCATGCAAAGATGCTTCAAGACCACCGAAACAGAGTGTTCCATGACTTCCGCAATGGTGCATGCCGGAATCTTGTGTGTACTGGTATGCCCAAGTTTTTAATACTGTTTTTGGATCAATATAATGAATAAAATGCTCAATTAATTTACTGCTTAGAACTCAAGAGTGGCTTTCCTTAGGGGGATCAAGTTACACTGGTTTTTACTATTATGTATTTGTGAAATGAGCCAAGTCCTTCACCTGAATAGTTTATGGTTGATGCAGACCTGTTCACTCGTGGTATTGACATTCAAGCAGTCAATGTGGTGATAAACTTTGATTTCCCAAAGACTGCAGAAACTTATCTCCATAGGGTAAGCTGAAAATCAGATCCTACATTTTACCTGATTCCTACATATTGATTGATTAATTTTTATTTTTTTTTATTTTGATACCCCTGTTGCTGTTCAGGTTGGTCGATCAGGAAGGTTTGGCCATCTTGGTTTAGCTGTGAATCTTATCACCTATGAAGACCGCTTTAACCTGTATGTATATCTCTCTTAACTGGGTTGTACGCATGCTGCCTAGCTTTGTTGTTTAACCTCTTTCTCACTTTTTTTGTAGTTACCGGATTGAGCAAGAGCTTGGAACGGAGATCAAGCAAATTCCTCCACATATCGATCAGGCAATTTATTGCCAATAACTAAGGGCTGGCCGCCTTAGTCTGCTATCAGGTGTCTCAGTAATAAGTGGTGAGTAATATCAACTTACGGACAGACTTGAATATTTTCTACTTTTGGAGTCGTTTTACTTCATGTAAAGATTCTCTAGGATAGTTTAGTACTTTAGAGAATACATAGTTTTGTTGAAAGATCTAAGATGAAGTTCAACAGTTGCAGCTATTACATTATTAGGAGACAAAAATTTTGTCCTTTTACACTACAAAATTTCTTAGAGTTAGATGTGTTCCCTCATTTACTTGCGCTCCCTAAAAAATTATTCGGATTTGTGTTATTGTTCAGGTTGGTTGAAGCAATGGGAAGAGAGTAGTTTGTGTTTATCTAGCCATGGCAGGGCAACCACAACCCAAAAAAAGTCTTCTCATTCTGCCTTTTACCACCAAAATGTTTATGTGTGCGTCATTTGAGTTTCCCTTTTTTTATAAGATTCAACTACATATAGACAAAGGCCTAGAAGGTTTGAAATTCTGGGTAGTAGTGGAAGTGAAGTTTTTATTAAAAATAATTAGGTTTGACAAGTTGTTTGATGCTATGTCTCTTTCTTCGTCGTAGACTGATCAGTGGTTTCACTGTTGTGATGCGTCTTTCATGAAGCTGTACTTTCGTGGGTCTTTAATAATAAGTCTTTGCATTGTTTTGTGCACATTTTGGTATGTGGACAATTATTTCAGCACTCTTTTGTACCATGAAACACACGCATAATTATACAAGTAATGACATAGGAGAGGGGGAGATGGGTGATAATCTGTTAACTGCAGATGTCAGAAGCAGCTGAAAGATGACTTGTTGGGAGTCTGTCCAGTGGCTTGAAACCTTGCAGCTTCTTCTTCCGCATGAAGAATCTCTTGAGCTTGTTTTGTTTGAACCTTTGCTTTTTTCTCTTGTGCTTTTGCATGAACTGCTGCTTTCTTGCTCCTTAGTTTCTCTGCTTTCTCCATTTTCTTATTATCCATCTTCCTCTGCGGAAAACAACCATTTTTTTAGATGCAATGAGTCTTTACTAGCTGTCTTTCTTGTCGTTTTGATAGATTCATGCTTTTGATCATCAATTTACTTGAGAAATAGAGAATAGTCATAAGCATTAAGTAGAATAAAGGGTCTAGAGATCATTTTGTGTGACTCACCTGGAGACCAGCGAGTTCAGATTCGATCTTTGTTGTTTTCTTATTCTCCCATCCTGATATCTCAATGAGGTTCTTCTGTGTCCTGCAAATTAGAAAAAACTTTCAGAGCATCGTATAGAAAACTGCAGAAGATTTGAAAGGGGGGGGCGGGGGGGTTGTGTTGTTTCTTACTTGTTAATGACCTTTGTTATTTTCTGTTCTTTCCATGCCTTGATGACTGATAACTGCGCTTTTCCTACTTCACAAGTGTTTATACGTTAAAAAAAGAACAAATTGCTTTTGTATCCAAATAGGTAGCTACAATAACGTAAATTTGTGATATGAGTATTACCTGTTTCCATTTTATGAAAAGAAAAGATATGAGCTTAGAGCTTTAAGTTCTAATTGATGGTTAAAAGAACATTTAGTTCTATTTATAAAGATGTATGATATGTTCGATCGGAAAAAAGTTTCAATGATAATAAGTGTTTTGGTCATTTTTTCTTATTCTTGTAAGAATATTAGAAATTGTTCTGTTGGTTTTCCATCCGTCTGTGTTAGTCTTTTCATTGTTTATTTTAAATTTATGCGGTCTGTCTCAAGGAATATATGTTACAGCTTGGAAAATAGCCGAATGTTGAAAAAATTGGCGAGTGTAACGTGTTTTCTGATTGCTCGTATCTTTGTCATGGTTTGTGGAACTCTCAAACGAGTTTTTGTTCGAGCATTTCTAATCTTAGTTTGTCTTCGAGCATTAGTTATTGTATATTTTCATTTTTTTAAGATGATTTTTTTTTTAATTATAAATTGGTCTTTAACTTTTATTTATTTTTATCTTTTGACAAAATAAACTATATGTTTTGATATAAACCACTTAATTTTAATTCCATTTGTTATTTTCATCATATTAATTAAAAATATTAAATATACTTAAAACTTATACTTATATAAATATTAAAATTACATAATTAATATAAAATCAAATAAATAATTAATAAAACCAAACTAAACATATAAAACTTATTAATACAACATAAACTAACACCTGGTAAACCATTTCCACAACCACTAAAATCATTAAAATCTAATGTTTTATTTATTTACTTTATCTTTGTTGTAATAAGTTTATTATAAATTAATGTTGAATATGTTGGATTATGTTAATAAAACAGTTGGAAAAAATTAGTAAATATAAAAATTAGAAACTGTTATTTATAATAATGATAAAGGAGAGTTAGGATATATTTGGAATATTCTTTTTACAAAAAAAAGAAATGAAGCAAACAATTCGAGTGAATATTACTTCATTTTTTTTCTTCATTTTGAAGAAAGTGAATATTTGAAGATAAAAATGAATCCAACCATTGGAAATGCTCTTAGTCGTTAACACGTCAATGTGAAAATCATTGTAACCTTACATAATTTATATAATTTTGCTATTTTAGTTAACAAATTCGAAAAACCCTAATTTTAATTAGACATATATATTTAATTTTTAATCTGGTTTAATCCCTTATTTCTTTTTTTTGAAAATAACATATTTGTTTTATCTAAAGGATGGAATCTATATTAAAAAAAATAAGAAGAAATGTTGGATGGTATATGCTAAAGCATTCCATACTAAGTCCACTACATTGTTTTTCTTGAAGTGCATTATTAGTTGGCATTTTTTTGTTTTGTTCTTTTCTTGTTAGCTGATAATACTTGAAGTCATTGCATACTATTCCAAGGACAAGTAGTCGCAGTGATACATAGATAGATGCATCGTATCAGTTGGTTGGGGCTGAATGGTTCACTTTTCAGAGCCCTTTGACAGAAATAAATAAATAAATAAAGAAAGCTCAAGAAGAAAACAATCTTAACAACACATTGAATCCACACAAACTGTTTGCAAATAGCTATAGCAGAAATATGCAAATGGAAATGGGAGATGTCATTCAAACGAAATTAAGAAATCTTAACAAACGAAATAGTAATGAACAAGGACGCAGTGATTCATTTAGAATATGGATTGATTGATATTTGGTTCAGAGAGCTCGTTCTTTGATGATGTCAAGGCTCATCTCGCTAGGATCAGTTGCTTGCAACTCAACTTGGATTCCATCCATTTCTCTCTTGAACCTATCCTTTGAGCTTGCATACAACATCTTACTCCTTACTCTTGATGTATCAGGTGACCTGGTCAATTAAGTAATGAAATCAAAAGCTCACATAACAATTTCAGATCATGAGAAATATATATATAGAAATGAGTTACCACGCGATGAAAAAGATCTTGCTCTTCTGGCAATTATCCTCGGTGGTGAAATCAAAATCATAGATTGCGTATCGGCATTCATTCTCGGGGATGGAGTCTGTGAAATTTTCGTAAGTCTCTTCTGGATTCCCAAACTTTTCTACTTGAACTTCCTGCGCCTTCTCATCAATCTTGAACACGATGTATCTGTAAGTCCTCTTTCCTTTCAACTCCAAGAACTTGATCTTGCATTCATCATTTACGTGCATCCCAGATGCCGAGTTAGCCTGCCACAACATTATCATTAACTAGTCATACATGAAACCTTCTTCATTAATATTTGTATACTATATGTGTTCCTAACTAAACACCATAAAATTTTAAGACTGAATATGGACCATACATATCACAAAAGGCTATTCCTATTCCAATTCCACACGAAGTCATTTCAGAGATGAACTCTCCTCATGTTATATATACTTCCAAGTTCAACCCAAATACCACAAAACTTCAAAAAATTAAAAATAGATTGTAATCCTAGAATATATCCAACAACAATATCCACATGAGATTTCATTTCATATAACCTCATTGTTGGTGAATGTAAAATCTGAAACATAATGATGTATACACTAAATGAATATAAACTCTTTTGTTTGAGAAAAAAGTGTGTGTAGAAACTTACCATGTCTTCTTTGTCGAGAACAAAATTCAAACCCGGGTTTGATGATTGGATCAAAATGAAGGGAATGGGGAAAAAGTGGGGGGAGAGTTGAAGAAAAAACACAAAAGGATGGATGTCTTGATCTTATTTTCTTTGATCTATTTAGCTTGATCACGTCTTCAAAATAGACGACTTTGTTGTTGCCACGTTATGCCCATATTTGCAATATATATATATATATATATATATATATATATATATATATATGTTTTACTCATTCTTACAAATACATGTCTATGTTGTTCATAAAAAAAACATATACATGTCTATATTTTTATTACTTTGAGCTGAAGTTTTGGTGGGGAGAACATTGGAACTTTGAGGTCTTCATGACGAACCCATGTTTTATTTCTTATTTTCCCTTTCAGTTGACCTTCTCTCTCTCTTCTGTCAAGGGTTCTTTTTTTTTGTAAATTATGATGTTACGATTATAATACTATATAGACAACTATAATCGACAATACTATTTGTTTTATGAAATTTATCTCTAACAGCATCACTCAAACCGTATCTATGTTTAATCAAATTTACGTGCACCATACTGTATATTCCCTATGTTCCTATAAAATACATATTCTAGTTTTTTCACACTTTTTAATAAAACATAATAAATTTGTATAGTTTTTTGTATTTATCTTTTTCATAATTTTAAATCAATAAATAATTAATTAGCGCAGTTAAGTTTTTTGAAGTTTACTATTAGTTAATAAAACATGCATTAGAAATGTAAAAAATGGATCTTTTAGAAACAAAATGTCAAATATGAAATTCCTGATGGTTCTGTCGGATTCTCAATTCTTGATCAAGTTGATAAAGGAAGGAGGTTCTACATCAGCATTGTTTGGCATTTTGTTTGACGTTTATCACTTTAGTATTGCTTTTGATATTATTTCCTTTGCTTACATTCCTAGATTGAGTAATGGGGAAGCTGATAGTGTGGCAAAATCAGCTCTCTCCATGCTTTCTTTGACTCCCACCTTTGAGGAGTGAACTCTGTCTTCCTTTTAATGAATGAAAGTTTGTGTTTGCTTAAAAGAAAAAAAAAAAAAAAAAAACGGAGGGATTTAGTTGTTTAATAAATCATTTTTTCTGAACTCAAAAACTACATTCTTAATGTGGAAACATTAATCCATCCTCAGTCATACTACAAGGCAAAGGGCCTCCACGTAATCCTATGCTTTGTTTTGTAATCCTACCACTAATTGCTTGACAAACCAGCCTAAACCAGACTAATTTAAGCTGAAGCAGATCCATGAGACCCATAAAAGCCCACGGGCCTTGACACATCGTCAGTCAACACTGCTTAGATTGTCATTAGTTCCCTCCTTAACTAAAAAAGTCCCTTAGAAAGAGTATTGATTCCGTCATGGAGAGCAAACGGGAAAGAGGATTATGAACAATACCGACCACTTTGCTTTAACAGTTGGTGATTTTTGTTTGAGCTTTCATCAAAATTCCCATAATTATTTTTTTCTACTAAAAAAAAATCAAATCAGTGCCACAACAATTTTGTAAGGTCTCGAACATCCACAGATAATGGACTATCTGTTTTTTTTTTTTTTGGAAGTTATGTTTACTGACTTTGCAATTATCACATTGTTGTTTCCGTGTTTTGGCCTCATTAGGTACGATATCGTGAATCATTTTTTAATAGATCACTTATTCTTTGACTATTCTAACTTAAGCATGCTTAATTCTGGAATTATCTCTAATATATTTTCGAAAAGGTAAACACACTTTGGTGACATAGATAATCAAATCAATTATTTTAAAAAATTTCACAGACCATAAATTAAGATATTAAAAATTTATTAATTGATTTTTTATAATAGGGTTTTTGGTAATGTAGTTATAGTTTTTCAAAGGGTTGAGAGGTTAAGATTAAGAGTTTAGTGTTTTTAATATTTAGCGTTTAGTATTTTTATTTAGGGTTTAGGATTTTAGAATTTAAGGTTTATCAAAGGGTTTAAGATTTAAAATAGGGTTTAAGGTTTATTGTTTTTATGAAGGTGATAACAATATTTAATTTATTTTTTGCAATTACTACTACTTTTTTATTTATTTAATCTTTTTATTTCAAAAGGTTCACAAACTAATAATATTAAATTATTCCATATTTGATATCTTTTAAAAAAGAAAACAAAATATTGTTAACTTATATTATACTTTTGCAATAAAAAGCTAAAATAAATTGTCGGTAAATTAATTTTCTAAAACAAATTGTCGGTAAATTAATTTCAATGGCTTATTCTATATATATATATCTGATTATCTATCTTTAAGTTTCTACTAGATTTTGATCCGCGCTTTCAAAGTACGGGTAATATACCGTTTAATCCTGAGTATCCAGATCCTCGAGTCGGGTTTAGATCGGGTTTTGTTGGGTTCAGGTCTTTCGGATCCTAGAAATTTGGATCCATATAGGTACCTATAATTTTTGGGTCGGTTTCGGATCAGATCTTGTCGGATCCGTTGGTTCAAGTATATTTTTGGGTCGGTTCGAGTATTTAGGACCCGGAAAGGATCCGAAGGACTCAAACTGAATCCAAAAACTTGAAAAATACCTGAAAACTCTACAATTGTCCGAAGAACCGCAAAAATATCCGAAAGTTTATTCAAAATCAAGCCCAAAAATTCAAAAAAATACCCGGAATTTTGCCCTGATATCCTAATTATATTTTTTTGAAAATCTAAAATTTTACCAAAAACCTAATATTATACCCAAAAATCCAAATCTGAAACTTTAAAAATACCCGGAATTTTGCCCCGATATCCTAATTATATTTTTTTCAAAATCTAAAATTTTACCAAAAACCTAATATTATACCCAAAAATCCAAATCTGAAACTTTAAAAATACCCGAATTATCAAATATACCCAATCACCTATATATACCTAATATATACAATAATTTGTGGGTACTTCGGATACCCGATCGGGTTTCGAGTAGGACCCGATCTGAACCGAGACCTGCGGGTCCAAACAAAAAATACCCAACAAACACTTTAGCATAGACCCGAACTCGGATTCGAACCTGTATTTTCAGGTCGGTTCTTGTTCGGGCCTTCGGGTATGGGTAAAATGCTCAAGATTAATCCGGTTAACGAATTTGTAAACTTACAAATATATAATGTTTTTTGTATAAATTTAAAGTCTGTTTCGTTGTAAATAAATGTTAAAACTATTGGATTTTTAAGGGAAGATTTTTCGTTGGGCTTTTAATGGGAAATTTTCATTAAAAATAAAAACAAATAAGATATTTTGTAATTTTCTTAAAAAATCAGGGACCAAACCCCAAAAAGGATTCTGATTTAATAGTATAGATCATCTTACCGATAACATTATGTGTTAATTTCACATATCTTTATGATAGTCCAAAATATATATATATATAGGTGGAAAGATAACATAAGTCTTCTTCACAGGTCTTTTTAGATTAATTTTAACTGTCCACTAAAGTATAAATAGATTAGTAATTATTATTTTTATTTTCGATTTAATTAACACTATATATATATATCAAGGAATGTCAATACTTAAACAGAAAACGAAATTAGTTGGTTGAGTTAAGCGAGGCGTTGGTGCCACCGTGTCCGCCTTCGAACCTCCTGTTTAAAAAATAATAATAATAGTAATAAACAGTAAACGGAAAACTATAGTATCATATAATAGGGAAAACCAAATACATCTTACATTAAATTCTTAAGTTTTATTTTTATTGCTTATGAAACAAAAACAACAACAATAATTTTAAGACGTTGAATCCACACAAACTGTTTGCAAAATAGCAGAAATATCCAAAGGGAAATGAAACATACGAAACCTTTCAGAAATATCCAAAGGATGCAGTAGTTGCTTTAGAATATTGTTTAATGATTGTGCTCTCGAGCTCGTTCTTTGAGGATGTCGAGGCTCATCTCGCTAGGATTAGTTGCTTTCAGTTCAACTTCGATTCCAGCCATTTCTCTCCTGAACTTATCCTTTGAGCTTGCATACAACATCTTACTCCTTACTCTTGATGTATCAGGTGACCTGGTCATTGAATGAATGAATGAATCAAATCAAGCTAATTACATAACAATTTCAGATCATAGTCCACACAAATATGTTTACCATGCAATGAAAAAGATCGTGCTCTTCTGGTAAACATCCTCAGTGGTGAAATCAAAATCATAGATTGCGTATCGGCATTCATTCGCCGGGAAGGAGTTTGTGAAATCATCATAACTCTCATCTGGATACCCAAGCCTTTCTATTTGAACTTCCTGAGCCTTCTCATCAATCTTGAACAAGATGTACCTGTAAGTCTTATTTGCTTTCATCTCCATAAACGCGACCTTGCAATCATCATTTACGTGCACCCCAGCCTACCACAACATAATCATTTACATGTCATACATGAACCTCCTTCTTGGAGTTCCTAACTAAATACCATTAAAAAGAAAATTAAAAGGACTTTAATATGAAATCATAACCTATCCCAAGGTTATAAGACATGAACTCACTTCATGTTATATACTTCCAAGTTTCGACCCAAATACAAGAAAACATAAATTTGTTTATATGGAGTACTAACATAATATCAACAGATAGGATTTCATTTCATATAACCTCATTTTTTGTGGATGTAAAAGAAGAAACATAAAGGTAATTAATTAAGCAATGCATCATCTAGATAAAAACTGTGTTGGAACTTACCATGTGTTTGTATTCTTTGTTGAGATCGAAATCCAAGCCCGGGTTTGATGATGATTGGATCAAAATGAAGGAAATGAAGAGTAAGGAGGGTTGAACAAAGAAGAGGGCAGTTTTGATCTTATTTTATATGGTCTCTTTTGCTGCCTAACCACGTCTTCTTTTTTAAAAAATATTTTTTGCATGACCACGTCTTCAAAATTCAAAATAGACAACTGTGATACACGTTGTGCTCATATTTTTCTAATGTTTTATCTCTTAATATATTATTGTTTGCTCATTCTTAATGCATGTCTATTTTTTAATTACTATATGGTTGCGTATGAGCTGTAGTTTTGGTCGGGAGAACATGTCAAGTGGTCGTTATTTTATTTTTCCCTTTAGATTTGACCCTCTTAAATGTGCATTCGGGAAACGGCAGGGAGAGCCAACGGTAAAGAGGACGCAGTTCTATGAACAACGACCACTTGCTTTCGAGAATCGGCCAATTCTACGTCAACAAGAGCCACGGACATATCCATTTGCTTTCCGGAATCGGCAAGTTTTTACGACAACAAAAGTTAGGGGTAGACCCACTTGATGGTGAGCGACATCACCTAACACCACAAAAATATGTTAAAATATTATTTTGCTTAAAAAAATAGTCAGAAACATAGGGGTGATATTGGATCAATGACTCCTTAATTGTATTCTCCTAACCCGGACCAACGATCCCGATCAATATAAAACATGTTATTTGTGCGAAACATACATCAACTATTACAAAATCAATTTCTATAATTTCCAAACTTACGGAAGATGAGTTGTAGCTACACCGTAGCATGAAATCGGTTAATTCCTATATTAACAGAGGCTAACGATCCCGATCAATACATAAATACTCACCCGTGCGAAAACATACATTAACTAATTCAAACTTGTGTTCAAAAAAAAAAAAACTAATTCAAACTTTTAAAATCTAATTTTAACATACATTGAATTAATATCCACTTGTCAAACACTACCAAAGATAAATTGTCTGTCACATATAACATATATCACAAGGCTATTTCACACGAAGTCTATTCAGACATGAACTCTACATATATACTTCCAAGTTCCAAACCAACTACACAAAACTTAGTATTTTTATTAAATATGATATTCTATCAGATCACCATACACCTATCCAACAACAACATCCAAATGGGAATTCATTTCACATAACCTCATTGTTGGTGGAATCTAGACAAAATGTGTAGGAACTTACCGTGTCGCCTTTGTTGAGATGGAAATCCAAATACCCAGGTTTGATGATTGGATAAAAATGAAGGGGACGGGAGAGGAGAGTTGAAGAAAAAGAAAAACAGAAAGGAGAGGGCTGTTTTGATCTTCTTTTCCTTTTGGTATCTTTTAGCCGAGATCAGGTCTTCAAAATAGACGACTTTGATGCTGTCACGTTGTGCCCTTATATTTCAAATGTTTTATATGTTTTACTCATTCTTACTAATATACGTGTAAAGTTTTGGTCGGGAGATCATTGGAGCGTTGAGGTCTTCATGATGTACTAATGTTCTATTTATTTCTTTTCTTTTTTTCTCTTTTTGGAGAAAAAACCTATTTCTACACGAGAAATATCATATAATAACAATTCCACACAATCTTTCATGTTCATCCTAATTACACACATTTTAAGTATAAGAACTTATTTACCCCTATTTACAAAGATCTAAACCAAAATCCACACAGACAAATGTTTAGCTTAGTTTTAGAATCTAAATTGATATCAAATCAGTTAAACCGATATCAAATGAGTTAGTATCGAACTGAAATTAAAACTCAGCTCAACCTGATAATCTAATAGTGCTCAAAACTAACTCATTAGTAGGATTTTGGATCAGATTTTATGTGGATATCAGTTTGGGTCGAGTTTTAATATCAGTTTGGTACCAACTGGTTTAATATCGGTTTAGATTCTAAACAAAAAAAACCGAACTAAACTTTCGTCTGTGTGGTTTCGGGTTTCGATCTTTGAAAATGGGATTAAATAGGTTTATATATTTAAAATAGGGATAAATAAGTTCATATACTTAAAATATATGTTAAAATGGGGGTAAATAAATTTGTATACTTAAAATATGTGTAATTACTAATTAAGACAAGCATGAAAGATAGTGTCGAACTGTTATTATATAATACTTCTGATGTAGAATTAGGTTGTCTACCCTTTCTTTTTCCTTTCAGTTTCAGTTTTGACCTTCTCTCAGCTTTTGTTTTCGGTGGATCATTGACTTCGAGTCTCTATGCTATATATCGATTTATACAGCCCAAATGTGCCACTGAATGCAGTTGAATTTAAAAGATAGAGGCCCAGCACATTCCAATAATACTACTATTACTACTAATTGATTAAAAAAAACAGCCTACACGGGATTAATTTAAGCTGAAACAGATCCATGAGGCCCATAAAAGCTCATGGGCCTTAACACATCGTCAAGATTCAACACTGGTTAGTGTGTCATTAGTTCCCCTCCTTAATTAAAAAAAAAAGGTCCGTTAGAAAGAGTAGTGATTACGGCATGGAGAACCAACGGGAAAGACGACTATTGACAACAAACGACCACTTGCTTTAACAGGCGGTGCTTTTTGTTTTTAAGTTTTTTTTTTTCTCCTTTTTTTCTTTTTCTTCATAATTTTGAGTGATTTTTTGAAAAAAAAGAAATTAAAATCTGTACGACAACAATTTATTAATTGATTTTTTATAGCAGGGATTATGGTAATACAATAGTTTCACCACTAAAATAATTAATCAACTTGTCGGTAAATTATTCTTTTGTTGGCTTATTCTATCTTTGTTTCTCTGTCTTGTTCAGAAAAATAAACTGTGAATTAACAGATGTGTATATAGTAGATGCACGTATACACACTCACTGCGTCTCTGTGTAGTAGTACTAGTATACCTATATACAAAAACTTGTGATCTGATCTACTTCTAAATTATTAGTTTATTATTATCATTTATTTTCGACAAGTTCGAATTGTTTAAGCTAAGCATCACATGAATCACATACGTTCATGTCGATTCGATTGAGATACTGTTGTCTCTCTTTTTTTTTTCTTTTTAAATTAAGTTTATTATAACCACGTGGATTTGCCTTTGTCCTGGTTTTGTTTTCTTCCCCCTCTTCAGACAACTTTGATGCAATCGAGAAACCAAAACCTAAATTACAGATTCAATTTTCTTCAATCCAAATTCAGTTTTTTTTTTTTTTGCTTTTTGAATTGTGGCTAGTGGGCTCTAGCAATTTCTGCTCAAGTTAGGGTTTTTAATTTGTTTGCTTCACTCTGAGTAGACTCACTAGAGTGGATTTGCTTGACCCCAACTCATAGCTTTCACTCTAATAATCCCGAGTTGACTCACTAGAGTCTCAAGCGAGTTGACAAAGGTACGACCTTTTTTCTTTTCTGGCTCTGAAAGATTCAATTTTTTTACTGATAAAGATCATTCATCATTGCCCTCCTCTGTAATTTTATTGCAGCTGCTGGCTTCAATTTTGTTAAGCGTTGTCTAGATGGGAGGTCAATGCTCTAACCTCGGTCTTTGTTGTCGCAAATCATCACACAAAACAGCTGTTCTTGAATCTCCTCATCATCTTGGTTTTGTCTTTTTTATACCTCTTCCCATTTGGATCTAACAACCTTAGCTTATACATTATTATCTGATTCATGTTTGTTCTTATTGTAAATTCAGAAAATGGAGAGAATAGTGACATCACTGATGTGCCTGTTTTCCGTGAGTACACATTAGACCAGCTTAAGTCAGCTACTTCTGGTTTTGCTGTGGAGTATATTGTCTCTGAGCATGGAGAAAAGGCTCCTAATGTCGTCTATAGAGGGAAGCTTGAGAACCAGAAGAAGATTGCTGTCAAGCGTTTCACAAGAATGGCATGGCCTGACGCACGACAGTTCCTTGTACCGTTATGAGTCTATTACTTTTGTTTTCATATAATTCTCTTTTTTTTTGTATAATCTTTGTAATGTGTGGTCTCATTGTGTAGGAGGAAGCTAGGTCTGTTGGTCAGCTGAGGAGTGAGAGAATGGCTAATTTACTTGGATGTTGCTGTGAAGGTGACGAGAGGTTGCTTGTTGCAGAGTTTATGCCTAATGAAACACTAGCTAAACACCTTTTCCATTGTAACAACACTCACCCTTTACTATATCTATGTTTAGATGTTATGTGAGAAACTAAGTGTGCTTTTTATTGAAACAACCAGGGGAAACACAACCTATGAAATGGACAATGAGGCTACGAGTTGTTTTGTATTTAGCACAAGCTCTTGAATACTGCACTAACCAAGAGCGTACTCTTTACCACGACCTCAATGCCTACCGCGTTTTATTTGATGAGGTATTTATAGCTCTTCTGTGTCCATGTTTCTATGTTATTCCTTCATTCTCTGACGCCTTGAGGGGTCTTTTTAAGGATTGCAATCCAAGACTTTCTACTTTTGGGTTGATGAAGAATAGTCGTGATGGAAAAAGTTACAGCACCAATCTTGCTTTCACCCCTCCTGAATACCTACGAACTGGTACATCATCATTTTGTTTTTCTTTAACCAATATTGATATGGTTGAGAGTAAATTGCAACTTCCCTTTGTGTGTGTGTGTGTTTACAGGGAGGATTACTCCAGAGAGTGTGATATACAGCTTTGGTACTCTTCTGCTTGATCTTCTCAGCGGAAAACATATACCTCCTAGCCATGTAAGTATTATAGCCAAAATAAGTTTTGTTTGTTTGCTTTTGAGATTGCAATGTTTACATATAGAGGTGAAGATTGATTCATATAATCTGTTCCACGTAGGCCCTTGATCTGATTAGAGACAGAAATCTTCAGACGCTGACTGATTCTTGCTTAGATGGGCAATTCTCTGAAAGCGATGGCACAGAGCTAGTACGCCTGGCTTCTCGTTGTTTACAGTACGAAGCTCGTGAGAGGCCAAACCCAAAATCTTTGGTCACTGCCCTGACGCCTCTTCAGAAGGACACAGAGGTTACATTTCATATACAAGCCAGCCATTAATGAAAAACAATGACCAAGTCTCCGTGTGTTAAATGTTTCCTTGTATTGAACATTGCAGGTCCCATCTCATGTTCTAATGGGTCTGCCTCACAGTGGTTCGGTGTCTCCTCTGTCCCCTCTTGGTGAGGCTTGTTCAAGAAAGGATCTGACCGCTATGCTTGAGATATTGGATAAACTTGGATACAAAGACGACGAGGGTGTCACCAATGAGGTATCTTGTCCGAAGATGTAATATATGAGGGTTTGCATGGTTCTTACAATATGTTTTTGAAATGCAGCTCTCGTTTCAAATGTGGACAGACCAGATGCAAGAGTCTTTGAACTCTAAGAAGAAGGGGGATGTGGCTTTCAGGCAAAAAGACTTTAGAGAGGCCATTGAGTGTTACACGCAGGTAGGTCTTTTTGTTAACCTCAACACACACACTTGTAGGATAAGAACATAGAGAGTATTATATTAACATGATGGATGATGTCCTAATTTTCCACAGTTCATTGATGGAGGAATGGTCTCTCCAACAGTGTGTGCACGGCGTAGCCTGTGTTACCTAATGAGTGACATGCCAAAAGAAGCATTAGATGATGCAATTCAAGCACAAGTGATCTCTCCCGTGTGGCACGTGGCGTCTTATCTCCAGTCTGCTTCCCTTTCCTTTTTAGGAATGGAGAAGGAATCACAAATAGCACTTAAAGAGGGCTCGAACCTTGAAGCTAAGAGGAATGCAGCTTCCCAACTGAAGTAAGATACATATACCGTTTTAAGATTGGCTTTTTTACTTTGGTTAAGATGAAAGAACATCTTAACCAAGTTTAAGGGGTTGATTAAATCTTTTGAGCCTACAAGGATGAGGAAAACACTCAAGAACGATTTGCAAAACTAGAGACCCGATGATGGGTGTGTAGTGTTTGTCCTCTTCTTTTTACCTGTTTTTATAGGCGTTGAAGGAATCACTTCCTTTGAAATCCAATTCCTTAAACTTTTTATATATGTTGAACATTGTACTGTAACAAACCCTTGTATTGAAGAAACCAAAAGAGATTGTTTTCTTTTGATTTATGTCACATCATCACCCCAAATGTAAAATGGATGGTTGTGTTCGTAGCCAACTAAACGTTCTGGAGTTTTGCAAAGCTTCACAATCTCTGTAATTTTGAATGGCAAAAACATCTTTAGACATTTCTAGTTGAAGTAATTTTTATTTAATGATATTTTTGTCACTAAAATAAATTTTATAAAAATACACTTCTTTATATGTATTTTGATTTTAGACATCAACTAAAATGAAACAAAAAGAGTAATACTATAGTCAGGGTTCCTCACTATATGAAGTGCTCAGGAGTTATGCAAAGGGAAAAATGTTTCTTCACCCAAAATAAATTAGTTGAGGTCGAACAGAGAACTGAATCTTATTTGAATACAGGCTTGCGATATTAGGGCAAGGGACATAAGCATGATGGATTACAAACATTAAAAAATGATACATCAAACATTTTTAAGGGGTCAAATTTGTGGAAAAAAAAAAACAAATGAAAGTGGTGGTGAGGCAGGAAACTGAGAGAAAGGCCAGTCAAGAGGAAGCTCCTTGAACCCAATAATCTCACATCCCCTCGGCTCCCCTGCGTTCAGATTTCAAGAATCTCCTCATACGACAAAGCTTGGAAGTTGGAAGCACAAAGTGGTTCAAAACTGATGTACACACTGCAGTAAATAGCGAGAGAGACCGAGACGGGAAGCTGAATCTGGAAACACTATGAATGATCTTAAGAGCTACTTCCCGTTCCCTGGCAATGCGCTGGAATTAGACGCTGTCTCAGCTCTGCTGATGCACCCGCAAGTTCTGCACAGACAAAATAAATATGGAAACAAATCAAATTACAGTCTCAATTCATTTGCATATTTGTATCTATATCTATCCACAATTTTAGCAATGAGAAAGACAAGGTTGTGATAATTTTATGGGCTGACCTTGGGGAGTGAAGTTAAACAATGGAGGCAGTGCTCTTCCATTTGGCAGTGAAACATTCGGGTCCCTCAAGTCATCGAAGAAGGGGTGTGCACAAGCTTCCAACTATACAAATGGAAGAAATGTTTAGTTTAAATTAGATCATTCAAAATCAGCCAGCGAAGGCGGTTGGTTAGGTTATCTATTTTTGTGGTGTCCAAAATGATTTAGTCTTACTGCAGTGCAACGAAGATTTGGTGAATACTGGAGGAGTCTTGAGACGAGGTCTACTGCTTCGGGTGGCATTCGCTTTTGGAAAATCTGAAGAGTTTTGTGTTACACGTTAAGATTTCACTTCAATATGCACATGCACCAAAGAGGCAGTTTATTCGTTTACAAACCTTGTGCCACGGGTGAGCTTTAATTTGAGGAAACTTGAACTCTGTGTAATTGGGATTCATACACCTTATTTCTTCTCTCGTCGGCGTACCAAGAATCTGGTAGATGTCCAGATGATTAAGATACGAAACATGGTATTATAAAAAGAGACAGAGGGATCACAATATGTACCTTGATAATCTCCACCAGCTGATCAATGCCACTTTCCCCAGGAAACAGTGGCTACAGGTAGAATACCAACAGTTAATATCGGATTGAATGTGATTTGGAAGTTACAAGATGTAACTAATCAACCAATTCATAACACAAAAGATTAAAATTTATAATACTCACTTGGCCGAGTAAAAGCTCTGCCATCACACAACCACCAGACCACATGTCAATGGCATTGGTATACTCTGTTGCTCCGAATATAAGTTCTGGGGCCCTGTAGTACCGGGAGCATATATAAGATATGTTCGGTTCACCTGGCACCTGTAGAAGCACCAGTGTGTTAGCTTAGCCACCATTTTTCAAATGTCAACCCACTTCCAAAGAACATTATAAACAAGAAAGAACATACCAACATCTTTGCACTTCCAAAATCGCATATTTTTAGTTGATGGGTTTGGGGATTAACCTACAAGAACACACCATAAGAATCAAGGTTAAACTTTTGAAGCTATTTAAAAATCAAAAATGTAGATGCCTAGTCAAAAGAATTCACACTATACCAGTAGATTTTGTGGCTTGATGTCACGATGACATACCCCAACCACACGATGTAAGTAGTTCAGCGCACGGCAGATCTGATATGACAGAGGCAATACAGGTGTAAGCAAAAGATTTCGACATAAAAGAAGTTTCAGCTACGCAGATAAAAGATTATTTGAAAAATAGCTCACTTGATAGGTGTAGAGCTGAACAAGGATAATCGGCATATGCTGATTGACTTTGGTATAGTGCTTTAATGCTCTGTATACAGTTTCTGGAACAAACTCAAGGACAAGGTTAAGATACAGCTCATCCTTGTCAGTAGTCGAAAAGAAAGAGTGCCTTAGCCGCACAACATTGGGATGGTCTTGCAAGCGCATAATCTGAAGTTCTCTGTTCTTGTATCTTTTATCCTGCAGAACCTTCTTAATCGCAACTTGTTCACCCGTTTCCAGACACTTAGCCTATCCAAAAACAGACAGCAAGTCAATTAACGTAAACAGACAAAAATGTTAAAAAAAGGATTGAAATTTACACATACCTGGAACACAACTCCGAATGAGCCAGTTCCAACCACTCTCTGTGCCATGTATGAGATTGTCTGAAACCAAATAACGAACAAATGTAACGAAAAAAACACACTTATTCATAATTAAGAGAGTTTCTCAAAAAAAGGGTCACCTGCTTAGGCTTTCCATCACGCCCTCCGACAGTGGTTGTAATAACCTGACCCGTTTCAGTACCACTTCCATTAACAACAGTTGGTTCCATATCCTGCACAAAAACAAAATAAAGATTAGAGCAGAAGAAGCTAATGAATATACTCAATACAACAAAAACAAGCAATTTGACCTTGTCTTCTCGGTTAGCATTACGCTCGTCTCTAATCCTCATTTCAATCATTCCTTCCGGACGCTGATCATCCATTGTAGCAGCAACAGGAGGAGGCGCGTTAGAGGTTCCAGCAACACTTTCTTGTGAAACCATGTCTGTATGTCTCATATCACGAGACGAAGAAGAGGACGAAGACGTTTGGTCAACCTGCATCGGATCATTACATAAATGGTCGTTGTCTTGATCCAGCTTGGCTCTCTTCAGTCCATAGTCTCCTCCCTATAACAAAAAAAAAGATCAAAACTTTGCTCAGGTCAACAACATTATTTAATTAAGATCTCAAAAAACCCTAATTTTGAATTGAAACTTACAGGATCGGAAGAAATGGAGGTCCGACCCGAAGCAATGCTCTTGAGACGACGCATCACGTTCATCTTCGCTAAATACCAATTCCAAACCCTAATTTTTCCCCCCAAAAAAAACCGAATTAACAGATTCAGAAATTCAAATTCAAATTCGAATCTGTTCTCCTCTTGTCCTCCGCCGTGAAGAGAGAACAGAGCGAATCTTCGGAAAGAAAAAAATGGCGTCCTTGTTAGACCTTTCTGTGCTTTCTCTCTCCACGACGCAAACCAGGTGGGGAGGAAGGAATCTTTTTGTTTCTCTCTCTCTCTATCTCGTGGCGAAGCCAATCATGCCTCCCTCTCCTCTCTTTTTTTTTTGGTCAAACCTTGACTCCTCACCGTTGATTAATCGTAGCAGGTCATCCGACGGGTAAGGATGAATCAGCTTGATTTCTACTAGATGTGATTACTAAAGTACCCTTATCTTACTGTCTTATTTACGGGGATGGGTGAATGATTGCATCTAGGCATGCGGAATATGCGGTATGGATCGTTTGACCAAGCTTTGACTCTTTTCTTCCCCCCAATTTTTCATGATAATCATTTTAATTGTTACTTACTCACTGTTTTTGACATTTAATATGCTCAAAGTTTGAATAGTATTAACCTCTATAAATCAATAGATAAATTAATATACACTAAATATCTCTATAAAATAATATAATTTTATAATCTCAAATTGAGTTTTTGGTTTGATTAATATATCGATAAATTAATATCTCTCTAAATTAAAAAAAAAAAATTTAGTGTAATTTCAACATTATTAATTTATAGAGGTTTCACTGTATCTATTTAAACATTATCCTAACTCGGCCACATATTAAAAACTGGAGAAGAGAGAGACATGATAGGCTTAAACATATCAAATGTTTATGAATAATAGTAGGTTATAATATTAATTACTCAGTTGAGATACTTAATGAAATAACAATAGGTTGCTTGCTTCATCTACTTAGTTTAATTAAGAAGTGTTCGTAGCTGTTTTGCAGCTCACACAGTTTGACATTACTTCCCTTGGACAGATAGATCCCGCCATTTTTGTTTAAAAAAATTCAAAACAGTAAACAATTGGTCTTTGTTAGAAAAAAATGACTCGAAACAGACAATGGCCCATCAAATAAAATGTAATGGTCCGACCTTATACCATACATGGGCCTTGCTAATATTTTGAAGAAACTGCTATTGACAGCTACCGCTTTAGGCCCATAACTGCTAATGGACTTAAAACAAAGGCCCACAATCATATCCACCCTGATACACCGTCAACTCTTTGCTTAGTTAAAATCTTAAAGCAAACGATAACAAGACAATACAAGTATACAACACACGACATAACGGAGAAAACGACGCCATAATGTCTGGTTCTCGCACTAGTCTCTCGTGGTTTGACGTGGCTGAACAGAAAATGACGGAATACGTAAACTCCCATCATGCAAAGGAAGGAGCCACGGACAGAGAAAGAAAAAACATAGCATTAAATGAATACTGCCTGCATACATATTTAATACACACCACGAGACATTAAACGGACCAGATCCATCCAAAGTCCAACCACATACTATTATTACCTCAGAGCTCAGTCCGCGTTAGTAAACCACAACACACGCGCTTGACGACGCTTGTGGCTCACTCTCACTACAATACAAAATAACAAAACAAAGGGATAAAAAGGGGTTTCCAATCCTAGTCAATACCCGAACCACCAACTACTCCACCGTGATCAGACAAAACCCCACGTTGTCCCAACACGGTGACAAAAGGAGTTGGATTTCGCTACCTGCGCGGTTCGTTCTTGACTCGACACCCCCCTCCCAAACTTTAACCAAAAGACCAAAGTACACGACACATATAGTTAAAATTCACATATTCAATAGACAACAAAAGCACACGCGCCTTCTTGCGGCTTAGCTTCGACACTGAAGAGCGGCTCGAATCTTCTGAACGGTGCATGATATAAGATTATTGACCGTCTCCACTGACTCAACCGTGAGTTTTGCGGTTGGGAGGTTGTTTACAAGGATTTGAAACGCCACCGTCAAGAGTGACCCACCACCGACCGGACGCTGCTCACCGTCTCCGGAGCCACCTTCAAAGCCTCCGTCAGGAAGAATAGCGAAACCCGAAGGAAGGAGAGCCACGTAGGATGAATCTCCACCGTTCATGACAACATGCATGGCTGGAATATCAACAGGCGCGTACACTACGAGCGCTCCAGATGCGTCTATGCATGTTTCCTGAAGAATTAGCATACTGCTCTGATTCGTGTTCATTGGCTGCCAAACACATGCACAAAACAAGAACCCTTAGGTAAAGTGTTAAATTACGAGAATTGCCACACTGAACACATACAGTAACCGCTTCAGGGTGAAAAGAGAAACAAGTCAAAATAAACTTTTACAGATATGCAAGGAAAAGGACGATGTGAAAAGTCAAAAAACACAGACAAAGAGGTAAAGGTCGAAACTGTCCTATTAATATTGACTTTGCGAACCCTTCCAAAAGCTGTGACAGACACTTTTGTTTTCTACTGATACCAGCCAAATTCCTAAATTGTCCTTTTTCCAATCCATTCATTTGCCCACATTCAGGGACAAAAACGTCACTATCACCTAATCCATATTCCACGCTCAAACTAGTTCCACACATAAACCGAACTAATCACACACACACACACACCATATTTCTTAACCGGAAAGTCTATCTAATAAACCATTCTAATTACTAAACCGAGATTTATGTACCGGTTAAACCGGGAGTGTAATATGGGAAAATAACTTACGTTGGAGCGTAGCAGAGAAACGGAGTTGCCTTGATCTTGACCTTTGGCAATGTGGGCCATCTCCTGCATGGTACCACCATTAGATAGAATATCCCATTCGCATCTCATCCTTTCGTTCCTCAAGAAGTCAAACAGACGTTGTGGCGAAGCTGGAAGCCACACAGACGTGGCAGCACTGAGAACAATACCCGGAGCCTCACTCGGATCATCCACACTCTTACGGGTCATAATTCGAACGTCCGGATCTACGTTTCCGACAGTGAGCTTGCTCCAATTGTGGACAGAGGGCGCAGAGATGCCCGAGCAGAAGTTGACAGTCATGCGTTGAGCTAACTTCAGCATGCTTTTCCGACCACCAGGCGATATAGCTGTTTTTTTTTGGCACATATTAAATGCTTTGTAACAACACAAATCAAATCATAACTGAATATATGTTAAATAAAGAATCTAACTAATAGGAAACGAACATGTGTCGTCGTGAGATGTAACGGAGGAGGACATGAGGATGGCAAGACCCTCGCACTGTCTCTGAAGTGTAGCGACCCATCTTTGAGAGCCAAAACCAAGACCCGACCGAATCAGTGGCCGGTACAAGTGGTGGATTTGGTTCTCGTCGTATTCTGCATGCTCAACCCACGTGACCTGCACAAACCAAGTCCTGGTTTAGCATATAACAAGCAAACCAACCACAAATAATATAATATCAAACGTATAAGGCAGAGATGAGGTGTTGAATTTTTAGAGGAAGATAATAAGATAAAATTCAAGGAAATAGGACAACTGAAATGAATATATTACAGCTAGAGACGGGAGATACTAGACAGCATAGAAGAATGGAATAAAAAATACTAGAATATTAGATTTATCAAAACGATGATTAGAAGCCTTTTTATTGTACATGCATATGAAATTAATGTGTTCTTTTCCAAAATGCGCACAAAATAATTTTGGACAGATGCTTCATAGAATAGAGCGCAAATAGACAGACCCAGTTGTCTAAAACTTGAAATCTAATCCAGAGAATCCGACAGAGAGAGAAGCATCCGGATCTATAAAAGTTTATAATCTCGGAAGGTTCGGGGATCAAAATTCGAAGCCTATTCAATAATCTTTTTCATTTTTATATTCTAACATAAAATCATACAATTAAACTATTCAAAAATAATAACGTATGAGAAGGAAACCCATAAAACTTTTTTGTAACACAGGAAACCCATAAAACAATTAACAGTTTTCAAGAAAAAACGGACGGTAAACAAAACAAATGATTTGAAAAGTAAAATGTGAAAGTAAAATAAAAAAAAAAATTGAAAAGAAATTTGAGAGTGACAGTGAAGTGGGTGCAGTGAGTAATGGCTAAAAAACAAGACTCATTGATGCATGAGCTTCTACTTCGTCTAGTGATCACCCAATTAAAAACCTAGAGATCCCAACTTCTTCGTCTTTATAGAATTTTCCAATACCCAATAATAAACATGCTTAGAAAAAAGATTCCAAATGTGTTTATGTGATTAATTATCATTATGATTATGCTTTTAAAAAACTTAATTACCTTTGAGTATCCATTAGACATATCTTGCACTACGCAGCCTGATGGTAATCGCCTGATTATAACCGTACCGGAATTTTCACGCACTGTATCAATAGAAACGTCCACCACTGCCCACACGCCTTCCGCATGCTGTTTGCAGAACCGTAGGAAATTAACGTTGCGAACCGGAACCAACGGAGACAAAACTTGTAGCTCCGCATTCATCTGTAGTAATTAAAATTAGAACATAACCAAATACTAAACCGTGATGACTAAACCGGAATGTGATTTGATTGTATTACCAGTTGAAGTGCACCGTTCCTTGTTCCGGCCATTCCGCCGGAAATAACATCAGTGGTTGTGCATCTTGCTACATTACACGGAAACATCTCCGTCCACCGATCCTATTTAAACAAAATAAATAGTCATTATTCATTAGAGAAAAAAATAACAAAAAAATCAAATTAATTAACTTACTGAGTCCATTAACGTCTCGACGAGAGCTAAGCTATTGATGATAACCATACCGGACGTTCTAGAAGCTTCAGTAACTAAACCGTTTGGTTTATTAGACGAGAATGTTCTCATGTACTCCTCATGGTTAAGCTCATCTCTCTCTCCATCTAAACTCTTAACCCATAACGGTTCATCACTCTGAGCTAGCTTCACTAGCTCATCCATAGCTGTTAAAGCCATCTCCAACAACACTGATCTCTGATCAATCCCATTAATCACCGTCCCCTGATGTAAGCCGTAATCAGGAGGGAAAGCGAAGTTTACTCCGTTGTTGTTGCCAACAGCGAGCTCTAGAGAGGATGTGTGATGATTGTTGTGGTGGTGGCCGAGGAATTTACCGGTGAGATTACAAACGCGATCTAACTCGTCTTTCAAGCGAGCGTTTTCGATGCGGAGATGGTGTTCTTCGATAGAGACATCTCCGAGCATGGCTGGTCCACCACAAATGTTGCAAGTTGGATTCCTCATTGCTTCGCGTATAGACATGTTCTCAGCTCTTAGCTTATCGTTCTCTTGTCTCAACAACGCGTTCTCGTGCCTCTCTATTTGAGTCTGTGTAACCGTTTAATGAATAATAAAGATTTGATAACAAAAAAAAAAAAGTGAGTTTGAGAGAATTAAAAAAAAACCTTCATCTGAGTGCGACGATTCTGGAACCAGAACTTGACTTGTCTTGTCTCCAAGCAAAGTCTCTTACTCAATTCAAGCCGTTGCTTCTCGTCTGGATGTGGACACTCTTTGAACATGCTGTAGCCAAAAAAAAAAAACAAATATTAATTGAAATCGAACTAATTAAATAACAGATCATAAAGAGAGGAGATTATACGATTCGAGTTCTTGGATTTGTTGAGGAGTGTGTCGGTGGTAACGTTTTTTCTTTGGAGGTTTATTATCGTCGGCGGCGTCTTGATCTTCACCGGAGATACCTTCGACGTTATCACTCCCAGATCTGCTCTCATACTCTTCCTCTCGGCTTCTCTTGTTATTATTACCACTCCCATCGAAAACATCGCCTCCTCCAGCTCCGTTATTGTTCCTCATCTCCGGTTGCTCCTGTCCGAATATTTAACAAAGATAAATTAGGTTTTTTCTCTTTTCTTATATAAAAAACACAGATACAGTAGAGGATACGACGTCGTACGAGGGCTAGAGAGAGGTTAGAAGAGGAGTAGACAGATTTGGTATTGATAGGAGGAGAGAAGAGGGTCGACATAGCACCGCCGGGTATTGCGGTGGTGTGGTTGCCATAAGTTAAACCAGTGGGGACACCACCGGTTGTATTGTCGAAGAGACTACCAAAGTTCATCAGAGAATAAATTAAAGATCCGAGTTTTTTTTTTCACAGAAGAGGTATGAAGAGAGAGAAGGAGAACGAAAGCTGAAATTTTTTCTTAATTTCTTTTATCTCTCTATAGTTTGCTGTTCGTTCTCAGTCTCTCTCTCTCTCTCTTAAGAATTTTAATGGGGTTTTGTATTTTTTTCTCTCTCTTTCTTATTTTTTTTCTTGAGGGAGAGTGATGGGGAAGATGAAAGATGTGAAGCCCTAGTGTTGGGGGTAACTGATGAGAAGAGGAAGAAGTCTCTCTCTTTCTCTTCACACTTGCATGTTGATATATATTTTGACTCTCTTTTTATCTTTTTTGTATTTTTATATTGAAAAGACAATGGCTTTTTTTAGATTTGTTTTCTTCTTTTATTTTTTTTAGTTTTAATGCCTTTCGACAAATTTAGGTAAAGGTGTTCAGTTTAAACAAAGTGAATCTATTAAAATCCAGTTCAAATCCAAAAGACCCAAAACTAGTCTTAAAAGTTGAAACTGACATTGACTTTTAATCTCTGAAATATTTTATAGTATAAGATTAAATCTGAACCAATTAATGGTATTTTAATTTATTTTAGTATCTTTCAAACCACTCTTTTTGGGGTGAAATAACAAATCACCTTGGAGAACTGATTGAATATGATGAATCTCATTAAACAACTAATCATAGATGTTTTCACTAGAAAACTGAACTTGAACCCAAACTCAAATTTAAATATAGTAGTATCCATTAGATATGAATTCAAAACCACTTTATGTATTAACCCTTTTTGAACAGAAGAAAAATAGTTGAGACAAAATCAAGCCAAGATATTGATTGAATGTTTTTACTCAAATTAACCCCTATAATTATTTGTAGATTAATTCTACAAATTGGAAGGCAGATAATGCCATTAACGGAATTAATTGAAGTGAGAAAAATACAAATGAGAAAAAAACGTTAGGATGATGAGAGAGATATGTGGACTCTTTGAAAACCTTACGAATGCACGAGACTCTCTTTTCTCCAGAAGTAGTCGGTTGACTTTGCCAACCTTTTAACGTTTTTCTTTCTCAAGCGCGTTTCTCTATACTCGCTCTCGTATCTTCACAGACTTTTTTGCTCACGAAAATAATTTAAAGACTCTTGTCTAGCAAACCCCACATATTTTTAGTATTTATATATGAATCCATATGTGCATTTTTCAATTATTGACATGCCCTTTCATCTTATATAACCTCCTAGATCATAATCGATTAGGCTATTTGATATTTGAGTTGTGAAAGGATCTATATTTTCAAAGTAACGACAGTTGTCGACATGAAGAAGCGAGCTTGTATCAACCAAAAAGACATTCCTTTAGTTATTCTTTTTAAGATCCATTATTGACTAAAATTCGCTCAGCTATGTATACACTCAATTACTCAAACATGTTTGGGCATTTACAATTGTGATTGATATTAGGGTTTACATACGTGGGACTAATTGAACCGAAGATACGAAAAAAAAAAGAACCGAAGATACGGATCATTACACTACGAAAATGATTTTTCTTTTTAAAAAAAATAATTAAAGGAAGGGATTAGATGATGGATCATATTGGTTTGGTTTGGTTCTGTTTGGATCACATGGGAATGTCGGTTTCCAAAAAAAATAACCGACCTGCAAGCACCCAACACAGGTTACTACAAGACTTCTGCTTTCAACCAATTGCTATTTGAAACACACAAGACTTGTTACAGAAAAAAAAGATCCCCATGGCTCCTCTTATTGATCTGGCAAACCAGTCAAGAGAAAACCGGTTTGGTGTATAGAGATTCTTCTAAGAGGAATATATGTATACCCATTTTGTTTAATGACACAATGAACGTCATTTTCATTGTTGGTTTTAGTTTGGTAATTACTATAAATTAAATAAACTTCAATTAGCAGAATAGCATCATACTTCAACCATGATATCTAGACTCCACAAAGCAAAACGGAGCTATCAATAATTACAATAGAAAAATGAAACCCTTTTTGTAAAAACCATAAAGAAGAAAAGAGATTCAAAGTGTTACGTAAATGTAAACATCAGAGAGACGACGGGCCATATCCATGTGCATATTTCAACTTTCAAATGAATCCGGTAACAAGAGACATGAAATTATGTCTGCGACTATTATAACATAATATTGCTAACGTAATAACATATTCGGGATGTCATATATAGGCATTATTATTGACCATATAAAAGACTTTTAGAATCAATGATGATAGCATACACCTTTTGGACATCAAAAGACAAAGACTTTTCTACAAGACAATTACATATGCCCAAGAGTCACATCTAATTGAATCCCTTTAGTACGTCCGGTGTTACGTCCAAACAGATAAAAACGATCTGATTCCATTGGCATGTTATATCATCTTGTAAGAAAGATAATATATTGAGATAACAAATATGGTTCAGAAGAAGAGGATACCAGCCAAACCTCCTGTCTGCGTTTATGTGCTTCACTTTCCTTGTTTTCCTCTCAGTTTTTTTTTTGCAATAATGTCTCAACACCTGAAGTCAAGTACTGAAAAAGAGAAGATTCTTCTCTCACCCAAAATCAATCAAACTACAACAATAAGGTTTCGTTTACTAAACATTGAATCATAGGAACTGTCAGTGTTCATAATATATAAATAAGTAGTCAGGATGTGCACCTAATGCATGGTTCTCCGGTACAAAAGAGTCACATGCATACCTTACTCATGTAGGTCACAAGGTAGACCCCGCACATGAAATCATTGACAGAACCACGTGTGACCAAGAATTAACATTATCAGGACATTATGCGATTGTGATACATTTTTGGAAGAAATGCCACCGAACACAAAAAAGGGTATATCATCAGGATGGTGTCTTAAGGGCAGACAGATGGGGGCTGGAGGGAAAGTGACTGTTACCTACAAGACTGGGAAGATCTTCTTCCTCTTCTTTTTTTTTTCCTTTTTCTAATACGTGTTTTAGTGTGAGTTTGATGGCATTTTCCAGAGAGATTTGGCGTGCGACAAGGATCCTCTCTCTTCCATGAGATTCAGGTTCTTTGTCATGTATGGAAGAAGACCATCTTACAGCATGGGCCATTCTTGCTACTTTGTCTAGCACCTCAGGAGAGTCTCTGATCAAAACCTTTCCTTCTGGACGTAATATTCTATCCATCTCTACCATTAGATCTACTATGCTACACCTATATGGATATTAGACAATTCAGTTTATGTAAAAGTGGATATGAGAGGGACCGTTTAGCGACTGAGAATGGGTTAAACCTAGATTTGATGGAGTCTGGTCATTTTATCAGTAATTCAATTCCTGATACGTGGATGAAATCATACATACGGGGATACGTTGAAAAGGGTTCACACCTATATGAACCAATGCAAAATGGGTTTACCAATCACATCAACCTCATCTCTTAGATTTCTAGTTCGCTTTCTTGTACTCTTTGTTTTTATTTCCGATCTTGTTCATCACCTTGTAAACAAATTCTACATTCAATAAAATTCAACTTTTTTCAAGTCCGATTATATCGTTGTGTTTAAGAGCATCTTTGCCCACATCCTTTATCTTCCCCTAATTAACTCACGATCTCTAAAAAATAAGAGTGTGGATTTTAGGATCTACATTTTGGTGCCGACTGTGGGGTCGATAAACGAAAAAAACCCTTACTAAGAACCTGATCTAGGATTTCTAAGCACGATTATGGACCTCGATCAGATCCGATCCGGATATCCAAAAAGAAAAGCACTCGAACGCGATCTCTCGGGAGCCGTTGTCATCACAACGTCAGCAAAAATGCAACAATCCGACGACGATACCGGTGGCCCATAAAAAAGAAAAGCTATGCACCGAGAAACATCACCATTCCCGGAAGCTCGACGCCCATCAGAGACCCAGTAGGGAACCTTAACCTTCTACGAACATGAAACGGTCAAACTCGATATGCCACACAACGATGCCTTGATTATTACAATCGATCTCGCTGGAGTAACCGTAACAAGAGATTTCATCGACACAGGTAGTGCCGGATACATTATACCTAGAGACACACTCCGATTAATAGATCAAGGTGGCCACACCGTTCAACACGAGATAGATTTCCACGTCGACTTTGACGGACGAAAAGTGCGATTCTCGGAGACCGTATCCATCGTGACTGGAGTTCAAGATTGGAATTGAAATCCAAATTTGCTGTCTCCGAACACCCCATGCATTTCGACGTCGTTTTGGGGAGATCGTGGTTACATAAAATGAGGGCGATCCCGTCGATCTACCACCAAGGCACCAATGCGTGAAAGAACGATTTACAGCAGTCAGGAAAAATCTAGAGCCTGCTACCTGGCGGAATTCCGAAAGATGCACCCGCAAGAGAAGAAAATCCCAACTACTCGCGATCTCGCGATCAAGAAAAAAAAAGAGAATTTCTCGAGTTCGATTCCACTCGACGAACAATTTTCCGACAAATGCGTTAACATCGAAAACGACCTCCCTTTAGATATAAGACGCGACTTGATGTCGTTCCTGAGAAAGAACATCAAAACATTTGCTTGGACGACCGTCTATGCCCGAGATTGATATCTAGATAACATCTCACCAGTTGAACGTCGATCCTACCCACAATCCGGTCAAGCAGAAGTGAAGGAAGTCGGGCCCCGAGCGCTCAAAGGCCGTAAACGAAGAAGTAAAAAAACTCTTTAAGATCGGATCCATCCGCGAAGTCCAGTACCCAGATTGGTTAACCAATCCCGTCGTGGTGAAAAAAAAAGAACGGGAAATAGAGGATCTGTATTAATTTCACCGATCTCAATAAATCATGTCCGAAAGATAGCTTCCCACTACCACACATAGATCGGCTGGTGGAAGCCACAGCCGGGCATGAACTGTTATCATTCATGGACGCTTTTTCCGACTACAACCAGATCCTTATGGATCCAGAGGACCAAGAGAAAACGAGTTTTATTATTGAATGTGGCACCTATTGCTATAAGGTAATGCCTTTCGTATATAACCATATCAAACAAGAATTCAAACAATCAACTTTGGCAACTTAAATCACAATCACATTTCAATCGCAATCCACTACAACATAGCAAAACATTTTTATATCTATAAAGATAAAAGAGAAAGTACCTTTAGAATCTTGGCGGTTTTATCTGACAAATCTCAGGCTTTCTGGCCACTTCACGCCTCTTCATCAACCCTGGATC